TGAGCAGGCACAGTGCAAAAGGGACTTTAAGGCTGATCAGTGACAGATATATCATGTTGCTGCCTGGGGTTGGTTTGTATTTAAATTGTTTGGGATATATTCCATAGCTGGCTGGAGATCATTAGAAGGATCCTGTTTTATTGCAGTTTGCATAACGCTAAATCAATAAACACATTCAAGCAGATGGAAAGCAAAACACAGGAGAAAAATAGCAYGGTTTGGAGGAGAAAAGGGATAGCAGAGAGCACTCCTGGCTGGTAGTTTTGCCTGGAAAACACAAGCAGATGCTCTCAGAGCAGAGATCTGATCTAACATCCACCTGGCAGCTCCCCAGGGCCGGGACATGCCCCAGAGACAGCAGCTCTCAAAGGGCACCCAGTCCTGTAAAAAGCAAAATATCACCGTTTATTGCAGCCGTGACCTACTGCTCGGTGCGTAATGAGGAATTTTCCATTTCAAACTTTAATGCAATAATTAAGATGTCCATTAAGGTCTTTACAGTTTGGCTGTTTGTAATTAAAAATGGGGGCAACAGGGGGGCAGTGACAGGGAGTTGCCAGTGCAGGGCGTCAAACTACCACTGGCAGCTTCAAGTGCTCTCCCCTTTCTCCTCTGTTAACTTTCTCTCTTCAAAATAATTTTTCTGGTTTTGTTTGTAACTGTCCCCAGATCATGAAGAACACATGAAGACAGTTTTATTTCCACAAGTACAACAGGGTTTAAAAAAGATCTTTTACTTTCTATCAACACCTCCAAAATATTGATCCTCTTGCAGTGCAGTTCGTGGGGCTGTCTCTGAGCACTGCCAGGGGTTTTGTGCTCCGGTTGGTCTCCAGACTGGTGTAGCTCCTGCTTGCACAGTTCCTGGTGCAGGATTAAGGGTGGGGTGTGTTTTAATCCCATAATGAAATGAGAAGAAACCCTCATATAAACCCACATCTTCCAAAATGCCTCTGCTCCTGGGAGGCCAAAGTCCCATTATCCAGTAATTGGATTTGGCCTCCTAAAGCAGGACTGAAACACTGTAAAATTTTGTTCCCAAATCACCAGATTTTTTGCAAAGGATTAACAAAAATTAATTATTTGACTGAGGAAGTRGCTGCCAGAAAAGCTTTGGCTGATCCCTTGAATCCCTTCCCCAATTGCTTTCCCCTGCTCYGCACAACTCCCAATTTACCAGTGAYTCRCTCTTGTTCCTCCAAAAACARCCCTGGCTACGATCTCATGCAACTTCAACATTCATTATTCTCCAATAAATTGTTTTTAATTTCAGCTCTGAAGTTAAAAAAAAATTACAATCCCARTTCCATGGAAGACAATGGAAAGGTACACATGTAGCAATTGCCAGGAGTATTTTACACAAAGAATTAGCAACCTACTCGAGCATGTCCTGCATTCTCATTAAAGGCAAACTGTTTGTGGGTGACAGGGGATTTTCCTGTGCAACCATTTAGGCTCATTGCAGCTGTTAAATTCCTTTCATGTCGGGTTTTTCGCCCCTCTCCTACCAAGTTTCAGACAAACCCACTCATTTGCAGCCTCTCCTRTGTGTGAGTTACAGGAGATGTGGATGTTCCGTGAGCCCTTCAGATRCTCAGAGCTGCTGTAGACCCTGGCTGGGCACAGGAGGGTGAACAACTTTTTTGTTCTAATTTTTCCCCCAAATGCAAAAAAAAATCTGTTTCTAATTTTGCCCCATAAACATGTCATAAATTTCCTGGTTACAGTCACTTTTGTGTGGTTTTGCTGCTGCCACCAAGTCGCTCTTCAGTGCCTTCAGATCTTCTCAACTTCCTCCAGCACCTTCCCTCCAGCTCCTCCATCCCCTGCCCCATTCCACAAAATCCTTTGGCAGGTTTTGGGGAGCAGACAAGACCCCCACATCTCCCCAGAATCATGGGATGATGTGTTCTCTATTGTTCACCCCAGATCCTGCTTAGTTACTGGTTATTGAGCAAAATAAACCCCTTGAACAAGAAGTATTATCAGCAAGAGCATAATCAGATATCAGAGAGGAGGTCTTCAGATGAGTAATTTATYGAGATCTCTYATTTAATTTCATTTCATTTTATTTCAGCCCATCTGGGACACAACTGTGCTTTGGGAAGGGCTGGAGGCTGCAGTTCCCTCWGCAGGAGCCACCTGGACAGGCCAGAGCTCAGCACAAACCCCGTCCCTGTAATCTCATTTTACAGAAACCTCTAAGTAGGACACACACTGTAACCAAGTGCTGACCTGAGAAACGTTTGCACAGCCCTGGGCTGTCCTTCCAGCAGAGCCAGGGCTGTTCTGCACCCCCTGAGCACGGGGTTGGATCCAGGAATGTGGCAAACCCTTTCAGAGTGGTTCTGTTCTCTGGGATTTTGTGCCTGGAGTCAGCTGCGAGTACAACATTCRCATTTTGCTTTTGCACTCACCCTTTTCTGGAAGGTTTAATGCTGAGCTAAAAACTAGAACATGAGTAAGAAAATACGTATTTTGGCATAGCCCAGGGCTTCAGTGTTTGCAGGTGAATCTTTCCCACTTGCCTGTAAGAACCTGTCACTGCTCTCACCACAGACACGGTTTTCTCTCTTTTCCTTAAATGCATTGCCAATTTTTAATTTTTTTATCCTCTTCTGAYGGTGTCTGTTCATCCTCTCCCTCCTCCTCCTCCTTGGAGATTTCTGGATTAAAGAATAAAGCAGTGAATTGATTTCCTGAACGTGCATTAGAGAGGATTATTCCAGGAGATTCATCCGTGTTTGCTGGATTAATATTTCCAGGGAGGCAGCTCCGATCTCAGCCAATACTTCTCTCGACATACACCGAAACATTTCTTTTTTTTCTTTTTCAGTCAAGAAGGAGCATTGGGAATGGCAGGAGACAGAGAGCAGAAGTTCTCAGCTCTGCTGTTTAAGCCTTGGTATCTTTTGTAACAACAGCTTTTTTTTCATGTAGGTATATGAAGGGTGATTTGTGTGAGTAMTGCCTTTTCTTTACTCTGCTAATAATAAAGAATAAAACCAGAAAAGAGAATAAAATAAGAAAATAAGAATAAAAACATGCCAGCCAGTCAAAGAAGACACGCCAGCACCAGGGAATCAGGG